TTCTCCCCTTCTTCTCCTCTTCCTCCTCCTCTTCCTCTTCCTCCTCCTCTTCTTCCTCTTCCTCCGACTTCGTCTCCACCTCGCAACTCCCTCCACATTCACCCTCACCGCAACCACTGCCTCCGCCACCACCTGCGCCCCCTCCTATGCCAGGCTGCCTGAAGGGCCTGCTCGTTGTCGGTTGTCAGGGCGCGGTAGGAACGGTACGCCCATTGCTTCCTCACCGCCGGCCCGGAGCCTCACAGCCCCCGCCACGCCCCCTTTTCCTTCCAGCGCTTCCGGGTCGGGCGTCGCCCGCAGCGCGCGCCGCTCCTCACGCGTTTCGCCGCCTGCACTTGACCCCGCACAGCGCCGTCGCCCTCCGTCTTACGTCATTGGGATTCGGCGCGGCCGGCGCGGCGCCGCCATCTGCGTTGCCAGAGCCGTCGCGGGCCGAATGATGTTAGACGTCCACTTCGCTAAGAGGTACAAGATCCTGCGTGACAAAGGACGTTGTAATAAAACATGCGCGTCTGTTGGATGGGGATGTTGAGGTTCGCGGAGTGGTGAATAATGTAATGGCCGTAAGTGCGGTACCCTCTAAATCTTTCCGAAGACTGAGCGATCTGTCTTTATCTCAAGGAAACAAACTTTTCTTTTTCTATAAAATCGATAATAATTTAGTAATCGAAATGCCTATAATTATTTTCTTAGATAGCGTGCAAAATTAAAATTTGCTAAATATGGATCGCTTTTCTACTTTTATATGCAGTCTTAACACAAAATTTGGGATAATACAAAACACTGATAAATAGTGCACGGAAAATTTTAAGGAATCGAATTTCCTGACAATTCATGAAATATCTGCAACTTTCATCATGACTGCTTGTGGATCTCACAGTTGCTTTACTGTTCTAACAATGGTGCTAAAAATTTCAATGAAGACATACAAAACTGAGTAGAATTCAGAAACAGCTGTCTCGAGGAGAATAATAGTCACTGGTTGCTCACATCACTACTTTTCTGAAGTTTCTATGATCTGTACGACAATTATAATGATACACTTGCATGCGCAATACTACCTCGAGAGACCAGCCGGAAGTTTCGAACGTGCCCCATCTGAGGGGCGCAAGGGACGATATCTAGAGGAGAAACTCGCATACCGCCTTTTATGTCCGCACCGAATCTCACATTCCAGCGAGAAAGAAACTTCGCCCTCTCCCGTCATATGGCTACATTCACGGGACACTTGACGCGCTCGAGCGATTATCGCGCTCGGAAACACAAACTGCTCACGTGCAATTCATCCCAGAGCGGGTGTAGCGTATCGACAGTGACTGAGAGCGAGGCTGGGCGGCGCGTGGCTTCGGCAGGCGGGCTCCGGGCTTCCCGCAGCGCTCCGGGCCAACCCTGCCGCGGGCGGGCGCCGCGCGGGTCGGAGTGCGCCGTGTCAGTGGGTTAGGCGGGTGGGCGGGCGGGCGGGCGCGGGCGGCGCAAGTGGGTTGCACCGGCGGCGGCGGCGTGACAACACGGGCGCGGGCGAACAGCGCCGGTTCCCACTCGCCGGTCTCCTCGCCCGTCGCACCTGTGTCGAAAAAACACGCGCAGCCAACAAAAAAGGCAGAGGGCAAAACAAGGGCAACGGAATTCTGTCAAGATGAGCTGCGATGAACGCTTTAATGATAACAACCTAGATCTGTAAATTATCAGTGTTTTTAATCATGTAACATTATTAGTTTTCATGTGCGGTTCTTGGGAGGATGTATAAAGATAGCAATAAATCCAGTAAATCCAAATTGCCATTCTATCTAAAACAAGACATTTTTCACATCGGACGAAGCCTTTAGTAATGTACGAGTACTCAATTCCGACACCAAAAAACGACATTCGCACAAAATTAAACTTCAAAGTAGATTGCAAATCTTCATAAATTAATGTCTTAAAAGCTGTTATATATCATTTAACGTCGCTTCATTGTAATTGAAAGGAAACATTTCAATCTGCCCGTGGTGCCGTCTGTTAAAACGCTTCCTAGAATGACGCGCACAACGCCCCGCGTGCTTTCTTGTTGTCGTTTGGCTCCACTGTGCGCCGCCGTCGCGCGTCCGCGCATCGCAGTCCCCGCACGCACGCGCGGCTGACAATACTCATTCAAGCGGGGGCTCGTCATGTTTATGTAATACGCGACGTGCGGCAGTCGAGCGCGCTGCGCGCACCTCGGGCCGCGCCCGCCCCGCCCGGCCCCTCCGCGCCCCGCACCGCCGGCCCCACCCGCCGCCGGCGAGGCGCTCTAATTGTTCGCTTCCGCCGCGTGGGTGCTTCCGGGCGCCCCCGTACCCCCACCCCGGGGAAGGAATTTGGACCTGCAGATTCCGAGGTTCTGTGTAAAAGTCTCGAATTGGGGTTGCGTCTGGAACACAGTGTGTACTATTTGCGAACATGAGATTTGTATGCTTTAAGGAGCAAGAAACTCCGAACTACTCTAATTAATTGCATCTCAATCGTACACTATTTGAAGAAATATATTGGAGGATTAACACGCGCGATACATAGAACAAATTAGCGATCTGCTGCAGTAAAAGTGATGCTGTCGTGTGTGTGGACAATGGTGACCTGGAACAGCAAAAATTGCCTGCTCTGAAACGGGACACGTGGAGACTGAAGCCTCTTTCTGCCTCGTTCCGTAACAGCTGTGTCGTAAGCTTTGAGTATGAGCACTGAGTATGAGAATATAGTCGTAACATTATGTATAAGAAATAGCGAATTAACGTAATTAAAAATTCGCTTTTTTTTAATGAAAATCAAAAGTGTTTCGTTTTTGTATTACTACAACTTTCCTGTTGGTCTAACAAAACCGTTGGCACCTCGCACAACCAGAGATTACTTAAGTCTTATTTAAAATGACATTTACTTCGTATGGTCCTTTTTACAGACCCAACGAGAAAATGGTTTGTAAGCAATAGCTCCACTAACAGGTAAAAGAGATATAACTTGTCATTGGTGGCAACATTCATAATGTAGTTTAAAAAAATAAGTTAAAATATGTTGTATAACTTTCCTTTTCTCGTAATACTTCAAATGGCTTTCAATCTCTGGTTAACTCTAATCCGTAAAACCTTGTTTCCGAAATTCGGTTGATAAGATTATTCTATCACTTCTAGAAGCAACATTATACTTGCATTATTTTAATTATTACAAGACTTTCTGTTAAAAATAAGAATATCTCTAGCAAGGTACACAAGCATTATTCTTTCAGACCATTTGATCTGTATCATTGGTGTCAATTCGTTTACTTCTAGTCACAGGATTGTTGTAGACAACTAATCATCAAAGTTGAATCTCCTGTGTACTACTACTTCTTCATCAGGAAGCGAATGTTGAACACCGTTCATTTTCACCCTGTTAAACTCTCAGCTTTCGAGAACCCAAGCGAGATGGCGAAGTTGACGGATCTTTGCGGAAATCCGGGAGCAAATCTTCCCGTCGCTAGGGGGAGAGATACCAAAGAGCGATGAGCATTCGATATGCAGAGGCAGTCACGTGCTTGCTTCTCTTGGCGAGATTCTTAGATCTTTCTCTTCGGAATTCACACGATTATTCAGGATCTACAACCTTCTTCCTTTTCTGCTTTTTATGCTTGAGTATCCGTGGTATATTGACGCTCGTCTTGGTGCAAACCAGTTCACTTCCCTTCGTCAAAAATTTATTTTACTTCAGTTGCTCTGTTTCCATCGACATTCTTCTCCTTTCAATACCTAGCCTCTTTTTTTCATTTTAATCGCTTTTTATTTTTCGTGTTGGTCAATTTTTATTTTCATTTTCGCTTGATCTCTTTACTGTATTTTTCTCATCACGTCAGTTACTCTTCGAAATTTAGCACAATGTTCCTTTCGAATAGCCGACTACAATGGGTGTGGGTGATGGGCCACGTAAAGGGTGCGAGGCAAGGAGTTCCTTTGTAACTCCTGCAGACCGGTTGTGCCGAACAGGGTCCAGTCTGAACAGCTGGAGATCAATTTACATGCACGTGCTAGGAAACGGATGTAGCCAAGGTTTAAGACACGAGTGTAACATAATTGCGCAGAGAATATAGGATGCAGTGTGAGAACAGGTTTCTAATGCGCTTATGGAAAATGCGACTACGGATACGTGGATCTCAACCGCACCCATGCGTAAATTTAAGAAACTATAATATGAATTTTCTAAATACGTTTCGAAAAAGCTGTGTTACTGTGTTCTTCTGTAAAACAATAAAATACATGTAATGGCTTACCAAAACGTAAAACTTCCCCAGCAAGTATCTGGCCTTCATGCTCTCCAGTGCGATCTATTTTATTGTTTTTCACATACAAATCGACATTACCGGCTGCAACTAACGGTGTTAGAGTAGACGCTGCTCCACTTAGACGAAACAAAGTCAGCAACAAACGTCTAAACGCTATAAAACATTGGACGAGAAAATAATAGGATATGAATAAATCCTACAGATGGCAAGATTCATAAGTTTATCATGTCCCTTTTGTTCCAACTGGGCACCAAATCCTTTCTAAAATAATAGTACTGTGTTTATATGGTGTAGTTGTACGAGTTAGAGAAATATTTAAATACCTAAAACTGCTCACCAATTCAGAACTATTTAACTGCTCTCCAACGTCGAACAAAACAGTTTTGCGGAAGAGCGAGTGCTCTCCATAGGTATGTGGCCCGTCGCGTCAAATCCCCATTCCGATGCCCCGGGAGGCCGGACACGATTGGGGGGGAGGGGGGGCAGACGCGCCAAAAGGCAGAGCACGCGCGTCAACGCCGTGTCGCCCGCGTCGCGTCGTGTGCATGCGCGGAGCGGACCACGCCCCTCCCCCACCCGGGGGGGGGGGGGGGCGGGGGCGAAGCGACCGCGGGCGCTAAACGAAGTGTCCACAGCGCGACGACGCCGGGCGGCGCAACCAACAGCTGGACCCGGAGACACGTGACATCCCCCGCGTTGTCCTGCCAGTCGCCCGGCGCGCTCTGTGAAAGCAAAGATGGATTGCTTTGCTCCGCATACGCGCTCCAAGCAAGAATGTAGACAGCCTGTGGTGAGGATTTATATGCACAGCGATGCAGAGAATAGATGCCGTGTGAAATTTCGTGCTCTTGGAAAGAAAACGTGGTGAAGTTTTGAGTTGTTGATCTTCTCACTTCTGTCAGCGTTAAAATGATATATGCAGGTCGTAAGCATCTAGTACGTGATATATTTGCCTTTACTTTGACAATAAAGTAGTACGTAATAGTGCCTGAAATCTGTTTTGTACTGAAGTTCGGAGTTAAGCAAAATTAATTCTTAGAGTATTTTCAATATCTTTTCGTAATAAAACCATGTGCGTTTAGTTTTATTTTTCTCATTGCTTTTCATTGATTTATCGTATTGTACGTTTACATATATTTGGAGAATTGTAACCCTCTAAAGCTTTTTTGACGTCCTAAAATATTCTTTGACTGAATATATCTTTGTAACTACCGGGAACATAATTAAATAAAACTGTACGTCTCTCTTTGAAAAGACTGCCCTAGAAGAAAAACCTAATTTTCAAGTCGCATTATGCAAATGAGAGCTCTTCTGTTACGTCTTTTGTAGTTATTCCCAATGGAATGGAAGAATAATTAGCACACAATACATGTTTTTCGCGACGTCCTCGACCGTTTCTACGTAAACGACAACTTTTTGCCTTCTGAACTTACCCCTGAAGGGGACTTTACCCTGCCTCACGTCTACTTTAGATATGAAACTCCAAAAGACATAATAATTACCGTTGTGGCAAAAAGTTTCTATCTCATCCCTATCGTAATATATTCATGAATTAGTATTACGCAAATTAGTCTGTACAGTTATTAATTTTTTTTTGTCTCCCCAGTTTCAAACCTTTACGATTTAATCACGAATGACTCATACATTACTTAACACAAGTACTATTCTTAACTTGGCAACCTCAATAACGCAAATAAAACATATGTCAATGTAAATATTCATATGCCGTGGTGAAGACAATACATCGTCCCTCACTCCTACGTACATTCCAATACGCTTCATTGCATTTCAGTATAGATGCAAAAGCAATAAAGTCGACCTTGCGTGACATCCTGAACAGGAAAGTTTATTTTCCTTTGATGTCTCGTATGGTTATACTCTGTGTCTCTCCCAAGACGTGCACCTTTTCGTCCTAACGGATACTATAATGGCTTCTGGGACACGTTCGTCACAGATTAATGGCCATATTAAGCGCGAGCGGCGCGCTTCATTCACAAGGATCTGCGGTGGCATCAGCGGACGTCTCCGGGAGCGGACGCGGCTCTTGGCAGCCGCGCACAGTGCGCCGAAATGGATCGAGCGCCGCGACGGGAATAGTTTCTGCGGCTTCGAAGTAGGCAATTAAAGCACACTTTCAAGTGCGATGCTATTAATACAAATCATCTTGGTGGTCCGCGAGATTTCATTTGTATATTGCACGTATCTAAAGAGTTACCAAAGGACCAAGCCTCTCATTTACTTTGTTTTCTAGTCTTATATATAAATATATTCTCCAGCCGCTTCTCAATCAAGCGCCAAATGTCTGTGCTTAGAAATGGTATTTCTCTTTTGTCAAACGGAATCCGTAAACTATAGAATATAATCTTCAACTATAAGTCTCAATTAGAATACTTTCCTTTCTTGAAAAAATATATTTCTTAGAGATACATTGCAGATATTGGATATAAGCTTTTCAATTCTACTTGTGAAACTAAAAGTAAAGGGGCGTAAAGATACAAATAAAAACCACATAAAATGAGCAGATGTTGGTTTTAATATTTTTTTGTAGCGTTTACTTTTTTGGTGAATGATATTTGATTATGATATTATTTCAAAATTTTTAATTTATATTTACAATATTTCCTGTTATTTTTTTTATTTAGGATAGTAATTTTTAACCATTTATAGCGGTATGTAAATCATAATTTCAGGAGTTATAAAATACTTCTTACAATTGCACTACTTTCTTGGAAATAAACTTACAAATAAATAACTATTATAATATATTTTTTAATCTGAATGGCTGTAGTGCAAATACTCTCAATAGCTCCATGAGAAGATTTCGCCGGTTACAATCCCGTGCATAGATTTTTGCATGTATTTGGTGTGTGTGCCATGTGTGTGCCTTGTAGTGCTTCCTAATCCGCTAACATAGATTCGAATATTTCGTAAGTGAGTTACTGTCTAAAAAAGATTCGTAAAGAAGAATCTTGTAATATATTATAATAAAAACTTATAATATATTCAGCATCATCTATTCACTATCATTCAATATTAATCCCTTTACAAGGAGAGTAAAGCATTTTCAGTGACAAGTGTGTCGCTAGGGAAGAGAATTGAAGGACAGAGAACAATGCATTTTTGAAAGGCATAACATGCACAGTGAATATATAAGAACAATGGTTATTAAACTGGTTAATAATGTGGTATGAATGTTCCCATTCTAAGTGCCATAACACTCCATGTACAGAAATAATAATGCCATTGTGTAGATGTCGCTTGTACAGTTGATGTGACATAAAATAAATATTTTTAAAAAAATTGTACCTCTTCCCGCCATGCACTCCTTCCAGCCCGTATCGGCCCAGTGTGCAACGGCTGCAAAGGAATTTTCGCGTCGCCTTGGTCGGCGGCTGATCGGGAAGCCCTCCACGTCGCCGTCATCTCACGCCAGCCCGTCTGGGCACGCAGGCGGGCGGGCGGGCGGGCGGGCGTCCGCGCTGGCACGCGGTAACCCGAATATGTATCGGTGCCAGCGGCTGCGCCCACCCGGCAACAAGGGTGGGAAGGTCGCCCTCCGCCAGCAGACCGCGCGCCCGTCGCCCGGCGACCAACCCGACGCCGCCGCCACCGCCGCCGTCCAGGCCGCCCGTTAGCGCGCCGTGCGCTGGAAGCGAGCTATGGCCAAAGGAAATGTTTTGCCCAAGAATGGACAGCCATTTACGAATATTGTGATACTTACAGGCGCGGATCCACGGGAAGGGAAATGAGGGAAATTCCTCCTTCCATAATTTATCAGTAACTATTAATTTTAAATTGTCACGAAACTTTCAAGTAAAAATATTTTCGTATAAACTGTAAAAACGAATTAAATTGTATCGTATCATGAGCTAACCTGTCTTCACAGCTAAGGAGATGCCACGTGTTTGGTTTGAGAAAAAATCATTCGACAACTTGGATGTCTACAACAAAATAATTGTTGTGTTATTCGAAATTGTTCGTGTATACCTTTTACTAATTTCGTTGAAGTACTGTCTTTCTGGACGTCTCACTCTTTAAGTGTCCTTGTTTCATTATTACTGCATGTCACTTGTTTAACATATTACAAACACCGACAATCATTCAGTGCTTATCATGCATATTTCTCAGACCGAATTCGAAATACCTGAACAAAGTTTTACTCTGATAAAACGGGTGGGCTTCGCCGAACAAGTTAAAATAGAGAGTTCAACCATCACCAACCTAGCGCCGACTGAACGAAGAAGCACTGCTTTCGGATAACATTCAAAGCGTTCTGTCCGAACAACCAGGCTCCTGAAAGGAGAAGTCCCGCGCCTGTTAAAATCGTGTTTACCGTGGCGCGTGTCCCTTCGTTAACCTTGATGGGCGACACACGGTGGAGGTGGAGGCGGAGGCGGCGGCAGTGCCTGCCGACCGTCGCGCGTTTGCCCGTGGCCGTGCGGTGACGACGCCGCCGCCCGTGGAGATGGTGAGGATGGCGGCTGGGGCGGGAGGGGTCGCGAGTGTGTGAAGTGGGCTAACAGCGAGCGCCGCCCGGCACGTGACCGGACTGCGCGACCCTTTGCCGCCGCCGCCCCGTCGCTATCAACAGCACCTGCACCTCTCAGCGCGAAGCGAGGAATCGTCCAGAAAAAGGAGGCTCGCAGATGAAGAAAATAGCTCGGGTAGTTTGCTAGATTTCGGTCAGATTTGTAGTCGGATCAGTTGATCTTGGTGGGCGCAACACCTCTGGGAAGAAACTTCCCTCTTATAATTCAAGTTTTAAAGAATTAATATTTTTGTTGCATTAGTGTGGAGTGAATGGCATTTGTAAATAGAAGTGAATAAATGTAAAGGCAATATTGTTCGTTTAATCATTAAACAATTTGTATTATTTTCCCAGTTTTCTCCAAATATTCTCTTCTTTTTCTATCAATTGTTCTGAATATTTACAAATTTAAGAAACATGAGATACCAGTTTTATATATTTCGTATATCCAATATTTTGGGTGTATTGAAGTTTCCAATTTTGTACTTTTGAGTTGAGAACAAAACTCATGATAAATTTTCGTGGCGTTCTGTATATTTTGAAAGCCAAAAGGAATACTGAAGATGTCACTCGCATACTTAGCACGCCGCCCACCGTCGTCATTCCACTTGTTACTGCTGCCCACTCACTTGCATTACCTCATCTTCGCTCCGTTCGCCCCGCCCGTCTGAACACACGACCGCCCGCGTACCTCCATCCCCGCGTCCAGCCACCCACCCACCCACCCACCCACCGCGCACGCACCCACACGCACGCACTCACGCACGCTGGCCTTGGCGGCGCAGGGAGGCACGTGCTGTGGGCGGCGCTCGCATTCCGAGAGCCCTCGGCCGACAGGTCGCCCCTCGGGCCTCTCGGGCACGCGAGCGCGCGTCACCTGCTCGCCGCGAGCACGCGCCGCGACGAGGAGTTCGAGCTGAAGTGCGTTGTCTAAAAATAGACATGCTCCTGGAAAAGTACAACTAAACGAATTTACTCTTATAATTTATGATTTTAACTAGATTAGTAAAGTACGTTATGTAGGAGATGGACAGAGAAGAATGGCAGAATTAGGTTTTAAAAGATCTGCAAAGAAGAGGTCTAGAAGAGAGCCGGAATGATGAAGGGGAGAAGGATGAGAAGGGGATGATGAAGGGGATTGGAGATTGGAGGCGCGAGGCGACCGAAAAAACTGTAAAATACTCGCGAGAACAAGAGGAAGAAAGATAAAGAAAAGAATAATATATGTCTATTTTTACATTGGAAGGCAATAGAAAACAACTCTCTGATCATCTACTCAGGACAGAGGATAGCATTAAGGCTATGCCTCCTACCTCGTCTAAGCTAAGGACTGAGAGTGGCACTCCAAATCATGAATTTTGCGGCACTCAAGAGACGACACACACAGAGCGGGCACTCAATCGTTAAATTATTATGCGGGAAATACAAATATTAGAATATAGGTAGAGTTTTGAAAAGAATATAACGATGGCTTTTATAACGAGTTACACAACTGTTGAATTTACGCGGCATGGGCGATATTTCAGTTACGTAATTAGTGAGAACTGAGAATAGAGACGTGATCTGTTGGACCGCAGTTTCGAGAAACCACAAGAGGCAGAGCCGCAAAGCGCGTTCGCCAATCCCGTGCGCCGCGCGGCCGAGTGCGGCTGAGGCGAAGGCGGCGCTGCGATTTGCGAAGCCTCCGATGCATCGAGCCGCGTGGGAACGGGCAGCGGCTGCGTCACGGACGTCCAGCGGGGGCGGGGGGGGGCGGGCGGGGCGGGGCGGGGCGAGGTGGGCGGGCGGGGGCCGCGGCGCGTCCCGCGATACGCACTGACGGCGGCGGCAGAAATTCCATGCACCCGCCCCCTGGCGCGGCCACGCCGCCGCGCCGCCGCCGCTGAATCTGCGCGCACTTGCGAGCCATGACACCGAGTCACGCGGTCTCCATTCTGCGGGCGAGGTGTGAAGTCTGGAAATTTGCGTGGTTGGGGTGGTGTAAAAGCAAAGAGTGCTAAAAGCTACGGGAAAAATGATTATTCATTTAAGATGTGTGAGCCGTTATATTTTATACGTAGTCATTGTCGGTGAAATACCTCGTATTGTTTCTACTCGTATTCACACATAAAACAAATTAATTAAGTGCAGAATAAAATATATCTAAATGAATATTAGTATTCTGTAAAGGAGCTATCATAATTCGAGTACATAATATGTACCGCATACTACTCGTGTTTTTCGCGATTTTCATTTGATAGGCCGAAAAGCAGGCACCGTATGTTATACATTTTAAAATTGGGAGCACACGAGTTCGTTAACGCTTTCAATGCAAGCGCAAAAACTCTAAGGAGTTTAACTTGATATTTTCGCGGAACTGGATTTTAGAAACAATAGAAGAACAGTACATACCAAACCGGTCACTGGTCAGTAACGTAAAATGTTTCTTCTAGTAAACGGTTTCTTCTTCTGTCATGTATAAATCGTAATATCAGCATAATTATCTAACTTTTAGTATCTAAGTACGGATCAAATTACCAATACTTCACACGACCCCTAACCCCAACCAAGTTCTCTACGCTCGCAATGACGACGGCGTCCGATAACGCGTGCACTGCAACAATGACCATGCACTTGGGGGCAGGAGGGGCACGCGGCCCGCCGGGTCTCAGGGCCAGCGGACGTCGCGGGGCAGAAACAAAAGAGCGCGCCGTTACGTAATGGTCTGCGCCCGTGGGCGGGCGGGCGGGCGGAGGCGTGGGCGAGCAAGAGCGCGGCGGCGGCGGCGGCGGTGACCCAGACGGGCGCGCGGGGTGGGGGAGCGGGGTGGGTAAGGGGTTGGGGTAGGACGCGTAATTTTTTGCGGCGGGTGGTCCGACCCGGCGCGTGACCCAGCCAGCCCGCTCGCTTGCCCGACCGCCGCGCGACTGCAAGTCCACCGCCGCCGCGGCGCTGGCAGTGCGCGCGCTCAGCTGTTCGCACGTCCAGTGGCGCAACGCTCGGGCCCGCAATGCGGGAGGGCTCACATCCAAGAGGGCTTTCTTTTGGTCTGGAGGTTTTGCGATTGTAAGAAATATTAATTGTTTGATACTTTGTGATTGCTGATATAATAAAGGATTAAAAATAGAATCTTTCAGAAGAATGATCGCTTCGATTCCGCTTCGGTAGCATACGTAACTGTCTTTAAATTAATAACTGTAAGCAATTAATTTACGTTTAATAACAATCTCAATTTCAAAACATAACAATACTTTTTTAACATAATAATAAATGATTTTTTTTATTTTTGGTTATTAATCATAGACTGATGTATTCGATTTTGTTAAAGGATATATTTTTCATAATTTTGGTTACTAACACTACTTGTATTTGCTATGCACAACAACATAGCACGCTGTCGATGTTTTGTGGTTGGGGAGGAGTTTTGCTAGAGGAGAACATCAACGTGTGAAATAGTCCGTCTAACGTTGGATGCTAAATACAGCAGTATTAGGTTTGCTTTATGTATTTGCATATTATCTAATGCCATTGTGTTGATTAGTCTCACACCTCTAAAAATTATGATCTGAACAATGTATTTAATTTAATTTAATGACTAAATAATATTTTTTCATCAGAATATTTTTTTTGAACATTTCATCTTGCTTTTACGTTTTTACGTTTGTAAAAACTCTGGCTACATACTTAAAAAATATTTAATATCAAGGTACAATTTAAGCACCAAAAGCACAATAATTAACAAGAAAAATGAAACAGAATAACAGAACACAGGAATGAAATCAAATAACTCACACAATGAATTTCGATTATTATCGTATTTTGGCTTTTGAATCTAACAGGAATAAATAGTTAATTCTAGAATGCGCTCTCATCAAATATAAACATTGCTGTGTAGATCGATTTCGTCTTGCGTGAAAATGAAAGTTAGTATTCATGTTAGCAAAAGAATGAAAACAGCTGACATGGATAATAGAATATGAGGAAATTATGTGATATTTATTTGGTACCTGCATTTCATACTGCTGTCCAACGCATAATACCATGACGATTATTCCACGTGCAAGGAGGGCTTATGATGTCTCTTTGTTGTTTCAGACTGCCACATGACGGCGCTAGTGTCGGGGCCAGGCCCCTCTTTAGGGGCAGGGGCCCTGCTCGGATCCGTCCTCAGCGTCCTCCTCTTCCTGCACACGACCAACGCCGGTGAGTACCAGAGGATACCCATCTCGTAGATTCACTACTTATAATTGATATAGGTGTACATACAGAGTAATTCTGTATGTACATCTATATTTTATGAAACAGGAATATCTGTAACAAAGGGTATTGAATTCGTGTTAAACTACTCCCAGAGTTGTATTCGAGGGCCCCTATTCAACCTCACAAGCGCCATGCCACACGCACTGCACCGGTGTAGTGCGGGCTGCCTACTGACCAGAAGTCCACAAGAAGTAGTGTTGCTATTTTTAAACACAAGCACCAGACAATAATCAAGAAGAATAAAACCCGGTTTAACAAACAATAAAAAATAAATTTTATGTTTATAAGGCCTCGTAAATCCAAGTTCCAATGTGCTCCGTCGTTTAAAAAAAAATCCGGAGATAAGATTGTATTTGTATCTGATGTTCATACACTCGTTCCAACACATGGATTGAGAATATTAGCATAAGACTTTTTCTTGGTAATTCAAGAATATTTAGTTTCATTGCCGTTCATTTGAATATAAATTTTACAGTCCTTGCCTCTGAAACTAGTTCTCGTGGTCACTTGTCTTCCTTTAAAAACTCAGTGAATGTAAAATGCGAGTTTTATTTTTGCGACCATTGAAACAATGAACAAGTTATGAAAATACGTATCCTCTTATCTATCTTATTCAGTAATTATACGCATGTGCCTTACGGTCTGCGTTGAAAAAGCGTCTGCAGAGTGACAGGCAATTAATGCTTCCTGATCTCGTATACATTCGTAATTTATTAGCATAACCTTCTTCTCGCGAAAACAAACAGTGCCTTCGTGCTATCAAGGAACGTACATCCCAAATCTACATTCTTGGAGGCCAAGGAAAAACACAAGCAAGGAATGTTCCTAATTTTATAATTTCCTAAAAACCCCTACGAAATAAACTTTATTACTATTCCATAATATAAATTTACTTTCCTGTTAAAATGTTTTGTCGACGTAAAGATACACAATGCTTTAAGAATACACCGATGTATTTTGAGACGATATTTGTTGTCTGAAATCAATAATTATTTAAATATATATTTAATTCTATAAATAAATAAATTTACGATAATTCCATGCGTACATTTAAATCGATGTTACAAATAGTATATTAGTTACCATCAACCACATTATTAACTATTCATGATAAATAATGTAGTACATACACAAGAATTATGCTGATAAAATTAATTCGTAACCAAAAAATTGAACAATTTGTTTGAATATTGATTGTACTCGTCTTCCCCACCATAAATATTACAACTGCATCCACACGTGTGTATAAATAATATCAACATTCTTTAATCGTAGAATTTTAGTGACTCGTTAAAATTAGCAATTCCAAAACAATGTAAATCACAATTCGCATTTTATATTATATTCTCTTCCACGAATGTTTTCCTTTCGGTAAACTTTCAGAAGGCGCACAAGGGAGAGAATCCCGTTGGGGCAGAATCCCGGGATGATCGAGGGGAAGAAGAAAATGTACGAAAACAAACGCAGGACAGGGTCGCCGCCGCGCGGAGTGCGGAGGGTGTCTGAGCCAAAGGCAGAGGCAGAGGCAGAGGGAGAGGGCGAGGGAGGGGGACACAGCCGGCGAAGTGTAGGGCGCCGCTGCGCGTTCAACATTCATGAATTTAATGAATACGTGAAGAGCCACGTCGCGAATTGTAATGGCGGCCCGCGAAGCAACGTGTGATTATTTGCTTTGCGTTCGTTTGCGGACTTGATTACACGAGCGCGCCACCACCGCGTGCGCGCGTGCGTTCGTGTGTGTGTGAGTGCGTGCGCGGGTCTTCGACACGCACGACGGACAGCGCGTTCGACTGGAGAGTCCGCGGCGCTGTAATTGCCGAGCACGCATGGTAATTGAATTCCTCGACTTCCTCGCGGGGCTGGCTGGCGCATGTGCGTGAGGTTTCCCTTTGGTATTGTAAGATTTCTGGCTGAGTGTGGAAATAATGGTGAATTTTCACAAATATTATAATCAATGTGGAAGGTATTTAACTACGAATATTTTAACAGAATACCAAAGAGTTGTTATATTTTTCATATTTTCTGTACTAAATGGTATTATAATAATTTCACTTTCAAGTGAAAAATTACTTTACGTTGTCCCAAATATAAGAAATTGACTAATAGAATTAAACAAATCACGATTATCACGAACAAACAAACATTTCATCATCACCTTCTGCAATATTGTTGACTTTTTTAAATTCGCAATCCCGTTTTATCATTTAAGTTTAAAAGTATGAGTTCTTCATTGAATTTTGAAGCTGATTTTCATCAATAAATTAATAAATGTAGAATATTGTTGAACTTGAAAGTCACAGTTGGCAACCATGTGCAGGGGAAGAAACAGAGAGATGATTAGCCTTGTTGGAAGCTCTTAGAGGGTTGTTCGGCCTTCGGCGCGCTGAGGGGCCAGGCAGTGGCTTTTCTGTAAATTGGGTCTACTCGACCAGCAAACACGGCGGGGGACCGTTTGGTGTTAAATTCTTCACAGCTGGAATGGGTGCTGGGAAAGTTATATATACTCAGGCAGAGAGGGAATCCGAAAAGGGAAAGTGTGAATATTTGTCTACTTATGCCCCCAAAACACGGATGCATTGATTTGCTGCCGCTGCATTTCATTCGCAACATCGTGTGTACTCTTTTGAAGAAATTCAAAATTCTATTTGCAGACAAATCAAGATTAGAAAGATTTAAATGACATTGTAAGCGTAAAAAATCGATTTTTCGGATCGGACACATTTCAAAATTTGCATCGTTCAAATGTCGCATCGCAATAGAGAAGCTTAGCCCTTCTACCGTGCTTTTTGCAAGACTGGAGTGAAAAAACATATATATTTTCAAAAAATGGGATCAAAATTTGAAATATGTAAGTGACAATAGCAAATGAATAAGTTCAACTTTTTGAATCTCAGCGTTCTTTCAAATTTCACACGATTCGAACGTATACGTAGGTATAACGTGGCACTTCAAGCCGTGTCTTTACGATGGAATATATCATAGCATTACGCGCCTTTTTCGGTCGTTCCATTAGATGCCACGTGATCGCGACCGTATCTAGCAGTGCTTCCCATCATGCGAAATTTAGCGAAACGACCGAAAAAAAACACGAAATAGAGTGAGATATTCCATCGTGAAGACAAGGCTTGCAGTGCCACGTTATAAAACCCCAAGTATACATTCTAATCGTACGTGAATTTTGAAAGAAGGCTGAGATCCAAAATGTTGAACTTATAAATTTGGTATTGCCACTTAAATATTTCTAATCTTGATACGATTTTTTAAAATATTCATACTTGCTTCTCCACTTCAGGCTTGTAGTGCCGCGTTATGAAAACGCAAATATAGCGTCCCAACAGGGAAGCTTGGCAGTGCTCTCGAGCAGTAACTGCGCTCGCCGGCGCGGGGCTGCAGGGCAGTCGCGGAAGAGGCCGCCGCCGCCGCCGCCACCGCCGTCACGGCTGCCTGCCCGCGCTGCCAGCGCGCCGCAGCACCTCCGCGGCCACGGAAAAGGGAGGGGGTGCGGGGCGGCGGGCGCCGGGCGCCGCGGACGTGAGTCGCCTGCAGCGCCTCTGGCGGCGGCGGAGCGCGGGGTCGACGCTTGCTTGATGCCGTCCTCAGGCGAGGAACTGGGCCAGCGCCGGCGCCCTCTACGTCCTCTGCTGGCTATTTGCCCTCGGTGACCCTTGCTCACCGGCGCTCTTTGGGCTCTTTTTCCTTTCTTTCTTCCAGGTTTTATTTTCTTGTTCACTTTTTTTTTACTCTTCTGATCGCTTACTTGAACATACATTTCCCGTTCTGAATATCAAGTCAACAACTTTCCATTCTTTATCCTTTTGTTTTACCTTTAACACCTGCTGTATGTTCCACCATAACATTGTTCTGGTATTTCTTGTTTTCTCATCCAAGCTGTTTGCATCACATTGCCTCCTTTTCTTGCTTTTCAATAAGATTCCTTTCAAATCGGTTGCCAAATCCGCTTGATAATGTTTTTCCACTTCATATCCTCCCTCATTCGTAGTCATATTATGTTCCTCAGATACGAGTCATTCTCATTGGCTCTTTCTCCTCGAGCTCCTAACGCCCCAACTACGAAAGCCGGCACCGATTCACAATTGCTTATCTCGGCCCCGATAATTAAAAGTAGCCATTTACTCTTCTTGATGTTTACTAATTTTCCGATGCGGTGAAATTAATTTGGCCTGTAATGACTGGCTATTAAGCGAGGAGCGAGTTCGAACTTCAATCTGAAACACTTTATTTATTTTGAACAAGAATTTCGATTAAGTTTATCTGCCGTTTTCACACAGATGCTATTTTCTTTGCATCTTCAAATACTCAAACACTGATTCAGTAGACGTTTAGGAGTTTAAAGAGTAGGTGATTTATTGCTTTAAAATAAATTTATGGATGGTTTGAAAATAATGTCTATATAATCACATAATAAAGTAAATTATGAAAAATAAATATGTGAATGACTGTGTAATATATTATTCTCACACACTGTCATTACATACATGTAATGACAGTGTGTGAGAATAATATAATTATTTAAATGTTACAACTCGTTAAACCTGGGCAGTGAATTCCTTCGAGAGAATATTTCAATGAAAAAAAACAACATCTAAATGGTAGTTAGCCCCTGCTTCGCCGTACCTCAGCCAGCGCGTCTGTGTTGCAACGGCCGTCGGACGAAGGAGCTCTCCACAAGCCGCACGGGGCGCTGCAAACAGCGTCGCGCCTCTTCTCGCGCGCCGAGCGCCACGGGAAATCCCGCTCGTTGGGAGGACGAGCGGTCGTCTTGCGGCGGCGACCCGGGTTCGTTACCCGCTATCGGCCGCCTGAATATTCATGTGGACCTCGCACCGGAGCACGCCTCCAATTACCGGCCGGAAGCCCCGGGGGCGCGCGCGCGCGACGAGAAGGCGAGAGCCCCCACCCCACCCCTACCACACCACACCACACCCCGCCACCGCCGCCGCTGCCGCCGCCGTTGCTGCTGCTGCTGCTGCTGCTGCTGATGTTACTGCTGCTGTTGAAGTTGCTGTTGAGGTTGCTGTTGCTGTTGATGTTGCTCTTGTTGTTGAAGTTGCTGTTGCTGTTGAGGTTGCTGTTGCCGTTGAGGTTGTTGCTGCTGCTGCTACGATCGCGGTCAGTGGCCGCGGACCGATTTGTGCCTCGGATGAACCAGTCAGCCAGAAAGCCTTTTGATTACACATAAGAAAAATGTTTTCCATCCATCTCGTTGTAAATACTCGGTATATTCCCTTGTCTAACTGTCTTGTTGGGGTTTTGTTTCATAACCGTTTTAATATGTTGTCACGCTTTTTGATTATTTTATCGTTAGTTGCCAAGCGTTGTTATTCGCTTAAACACTTAAGCAACGATCAGGTAGGTTGCGGTTCCGATTCCCGCCAGGCGCTGAAAATATGAGTGCAGTATTTAACATCGGCGGTTTTGTGGCGTTCGGCGGACGAGAATTGGATCGACTCTTCTGTTCAGGAATTTCTTCAATCACGTCCAGCAAATGCCCGGGAGAGCACCTTACACGGACGCGCGCGACCTTTCCTTCTCACCCTTAGGGGTGGGCGGTGGCCCCATCACCAAATCTCGTGCGCACCAACCCACCGATTCAAAAAAATATCCGAAGAGCGCAGGAGATCCGAAAACCAGTAGATCCTCACTTTGTACCTCTTGATGCTACAACCAGAATTTAAAAAAAATATTATTCCACACAAACTGTGATTTGGGTGTTGGCATCTCGAAATTAATGGGAAAAGTTAATTAGAAAAGAAAGAATAAAACAAAAAGATGAAAATTTTAAAATTAAACCCTTTATCCAGAACTAAGTTACGGGATGAAACAGCAATATCCACGATCTAAAAACCTAAAGGAACTCCTGAAGCGAACATGGTCTTCTCTCTGTAACTAATGTATATACGTTTTTCCGCATCTCCTTAGAGCCTCGGGTAGGGTCCCGTTTCTCCGCTTCTTTAGAAGGGCAGTTCCATAATGGTTCCAAGTGCACGAGAAGGGAACCGTTGGAAACAGTCATGCAGATGAGGGAACTCGTTATCCAGGCGATCAAGGCATCGCGAAGCTAGAGGCTTTCTTACCATTGGCTCTGGGCTAATGCGTCGTGCTATCCTCATTACTAGCGGATGGTTACGCGGATCATGTGCAGGGCACGCAGAGGCCGAGAAGCAGGGAAGAAAATCAAATGGGAATGTGGTATAGAGAGCGAACGAAATATTTCAGTCGCGTCCAAGGGCTCTCAGTAGGCGAAGAGGGAGAGAGTGATAATAGGAAGCAAGCGATGGAAACGAGAGGTTTTCGCGGATTGTGTACCTGGCACGCAGAGGCCAAGTCGTAGAGAAGTCGATCAAAAAGTGAAATGGGAAGGTGGGATATAGAGTCAACGGAAGATTTCAATCACATCCAAGGCACCCTGGGTGGGCGAAGAGGAAAAGAACGGTGAGAGGAAGCAAGCAAGAAAAACTAGAGGGTGGGATTTCGAATAAACGGAAGGTGCCAGTCGAGTCCAAGAGACCCCGCGTAGGCGAATAGGAAGAGAACAGCGAAAAGGAGCGAGAGACACAGAAAGGTGGGATGGAGATCGAAGGCAAGAGATCAGTCGCTTCCAAGGCGACGAACCCCGAAGAGGCGGAGAACGGCGGGGGGAAGGCGCGCGAAGGCGGCGAAGGCAGGCGGCTGCGCAGGTGGACGCGTGTGCTAATAAGGCGCGGGGTAAGTGGACGCGCTTGTCGCCGGGGACGGACGGCGCTTGCTTGGTCACGTTCGCCGCGCGCGGCCCGCGCGCATACAAAGGGCGGCCGCTGACAGATCGACAGGCGCGCCGCATTGTGCGCCCGCGCTGCTTCCCCACCCCGCCAGGCTCCCGGGAGCACTCCAGAGCGATCGGCGGGTCTCGAGAGAATTTACGCGAGGCCTTACGGGAGGAAAAGAAAAGGAAAAAATAATGAATTTGTGTGATACAAATTCTATCTATACTATCTATTTTTTTCAATTTCATTTCAAGAAAATTGTGTTCTTTTTATTTCACTACTTTCCTAACAAGAGATCCTTTTCTTTTAATGATTTACTGGCGTCGAACGTCTCGTAAATTCTCCAAGTTAGTCATCGATAGTCGAAGTCATTGATTGTTTTTATCCCTTCGGTCAGGGGCTCGGCGCTGTTAGATCTTCATCCAGGGTTCCCTGCGCCTCCTCCAGGAGCCTACAGTTTCTCGAGTTGTTTAACCTCCGTGACTTCACGGAGCGTAGTTAAGTAATTCTTCTACTGATGCTACCTGGTTCATCTTCAATTACAGGTATTTAAATGTTGGTCAAGCAGTGTCATTCGTATTATACATTAATTGTGTAAAATATTCTGGATGTTTCGTTTAATTAAGATTTTTAATGGTAGATGAAAATTAAGTGATGATAAATAACACTTAACCGCATCTCCCTTCCCGATCTTTACATGAACTGTTATGATTTCTTGATGCTATTTGCCAAGTTCATATCTACCTCTTATATTTTGCATACATTAAAAAGGGCATTAGGGCAGCAATGAAATGATAATAGAAAATGAGCTCGATTTCATGCAATATGGGTACAGGAATAAATATCGTCTAAAGTACTTTTATAGTTAAATAAGTTCATAATTCATTTTGCAATAGATTTTTAAATGTAGGTTAACGAAATGAAAGAACAAAGAGTTTTAGGCGGTGTTACTCCAATTGCTAGGCCTCCCCGCACGAGGCTAGACTCGTGCACGTCTAGGCGAGTCGAACGCGCGGCCTTCGCGGTCCTCGCCGGCCGCAACGGAGTCTCCAGTAGCACATCCGGCGGAAACGGGTCTTAAAAATCCGCTGGAGAGCGGCACACCTGCCGCCGGCCAGGCCGCGCCCGCCCTCCCGCGCAGAGGCGTCCTGCCCCAAGTGCTTCCTGCCCATCCATTCGCCTCCCGGCCGCACTCGCCCACTCTTCTTTCGCCGGTTTCTGGAATGCGGCCGCGCCCGCTCTCCGTGTTAACTGGTGGTGCTGGTGGTGGCGGTGTGCGAAGCAACGGCAATGCCGGTAGTGACGGTGGGGTCTCTGAGGTGTCACTGTCGGTGTTGTGGCGGTGACGGATGGGAGAGTTTTGTGTCCGGGTGCATCGATTAGGTTTTAGTCCCGTAGGTATAGTGTCCATTATATCCTGAGAGTCTGCGGGGTTCATTTCTCTCTGAAACGTGTGAGATCCGGCGCCAAATTACCTGTCGGCTTAATCGGTTTCCCCACCAGGTAACTCCCTTAGCAGAGCACCTTAACACCTAGGCTTCCACGGCCAGAATCCGTAGCAACTTGGCAGTCCGGAAGACCCCGCGTTATAGGCACAGGTGCCACGAAACGCATTTCGCCCCGAGAAATGTCTCAGAATGGTGGCCGAAACGTCGGCGCCTGTGCCAAGGACGCGGCGTCTCACCCGGACAGCCAAGCTACCACATGTTGCCACTGATCTCTTAAAACCAGTGTGACGGCGACGGTGTAGATGATGATGTCGATGACGGTCGACGGCGGCGGCGCCGGGATTCGAATGACGTCCTCGAGACGGGTTGCGAGGCGGCCTGGCGCGCGCCACAAAAAGCGTCCGTCTGGCTTCCGCGCCGCTGTGACGAATCGCGCGCCCGCGGAAACGA